AGCAGCCGGTATTGCATGCTGCATGGACCCCCGGCACTGGGAGGGAGGGTATGGTAAGAAGCACAAAAACAACGGGGAAGAAGGATTTCTTTCCCCTGGTATCACGTCTCTCCTTTGGAAAGCAAATAAACGCTCTGCTGGGTCTTTGGGAGGGCAGATCTCTGCCGGGTTTGTGGGCAGAGTGAGGGTGAGGCATCACTGGGATGGTTCCCTGCCCATCAGCCAAGTTCGCCAATGGAAATCTTGACACGCTCTTTGCTTCTGTCCCCACTGCTGTTGCTTCTCCACCGGTTGGTTCAGGAAACACGAACACTGGCAAATGCTTTGCAGGATTTTTGAGCTGTGGGGGTTGGGGTGTAGCAGCCATCCACGTGGGCAACTTGTGGCGGGACGTGCCAGTGGCGGTTCTCAGGCTTCAGCTCTCAACAGAAGGCTGTTAGCCAACGTTGTCTTCATCAGTATCGTCTGGTGTGACACGCACGCAGGGGTCTGAGCAAGCTTCCTCTTCTCCTGGGCTTGGCAGGACGAGAACGTGCATCCTCCTCCGTGGGGGGGGAAAAAGGGTTTGGCTGAAGTCACCCTCACCGAGGGGGTCCTTTTTCACTGAACTTCCCTTGTATCTGCCCTGTGCGTCACTAGAACGGGCTGCAGCAGCAGCCGTCACAGCGCGTGGAGCTTGAGGCTGAGAGTTTGGGGTACGTGTGCAGTGAGGGTGGTGGCGGTGGGGACTGTTCCCCCATGGTTGCTCTGTGGCTATGCAATGACAGCAGCTGCTGGTGCCTCATCCTGGGCTAGGATACAAACTCCTCTGAAGCAGATGTGAAGAATGAAAACCACCCAAATGTCACCACTGTGCGCGTAGCCAGTGAACGTTTTTCTCCGAGGAAGGCAGTCGATGGAGACTTTCTGTTTCTCCCCTGGCCTGTGCTCCTGCAGAGTCTTCGGTTTCCCTCCTGTGCCATTTTCATTTCATTTACTAAGCACTTCTGTGCTTTCAGGCCTACCCACTTGGCTTCAGGGGCTACTGTTCCGGTTTTGGCCGGTAGGAATGATTCACTAATACTAATTGGCTCCTGAAATTTTTGGGAGGGTGATCCGTAACTGAAATATGTTTTTTTAGCCCTTCTCGCCATCTAGTGCCCATCTCCGTTGGTGCATTTAGACTCGGGGAACCACAGGTCCTATTTCTGTGCCCTGAACGAAGCCTGGAGACCGCAGCCTGGGGAAGGTTTTTCAGAAGCAATGAGCAACTCCAGGGCTAGAATGTGTGTTTCCCAAAACTGTGGCCACAAGGATTTGTGTTTTCAAACTCTTCGCCCTCCCCTCTGGCCTTTTAACCAGCTGTGGCACAGCGTTAATCAAACGTCGTAATTTGGAGGCCGTACAGTTAAGGTTGGATTGGTTCTTACACAGTGTAATTAAAATCGGAGCCTGCTCTGAGGTGGGTGTAACAGGTCAGCAAAAGGGCTAAAATACCTTGCCTGAATAGCATGCTCCTTGGCGTTCTGGACCTTGCCTGAATAGCATGCTCCTTGGCGTTCTGGACTTCCACAGTGCTCTCCTAAGCCAAAACTCCTCTTCCTCATCAGCAACGAGCGGAGGTGGCCCGACAAAAGTGTTGCTGCAGTGATGTCCCCTCAAAGTTCTTTTTGCCTGCCCTGGCCGAAGAACAACCAGGCAAAAACAGCACCAAGAGAACCGTGGCCTTTCCCCCAGCGCGTTCACCCGCTCCTTCTGTCTCTGCTCGCACTACGCGTGGGCCTGTCTACCTTTCCATCGGGCTCCAGGCTACCCTCGTGTGTGGTGATGAGGGGTACTCACAGCTTCCTGCCAGATGCTTGCCCTTGCACAGGGGATCTGGGAAGAGGGAACTACATTCTGCAGCATAACCCTGACCTGCCAGGCTGTCTTTTTTTTCTGCGATAAACCTCTCTTCCGACAATTCTCCTACTTCCCACCTTTCCAGCATGGGTAAAGAAGAACCAGGAATATCTTGCAAACCCAGGAGCGCTGACGTGTGCTCTTGCAGGAGTGAAGTACCGAGAGTCAGGAAGCTCTGCTGCGTTCTTCGCTGAAGTCCTTGCTGGTTTTTGTTAGGAACAGCCCGCTGCCTTGCGCTAGGTGCCCTCTCCCCGACATGGGGCAGGAAGAGAATGACCTGGCGTGGCCCGTAGGAGCAAAAACATTTACCCATTGGCGCGTGTGCACGTCCCAGAGCCCAGGCCCGTCTGTCTTCCTCATCCAGCCACCTACCAGCACACACACATCAGGTATTCACCCACTCCTGCCATCACGTTACCGCAGCTGGGCGCTACGTCTGCATCCCTAACTCCTCCCTTTCACCGTGCTTCCCTTGCTTTGTGTCAGGCCCGCCAGCGTGGCCACGACTGGCGCAGGGCTCCGTGTAGGCGCGGGGCAGGTTACGGTGGCAAAGCACAACACTGACTATGGTGTGAAAGGGTTAGCCATGTATGCCATGTGGAATAATTACAGCAGCAACACTTTGTTAAGCGTACAACTACTAGCGACATAATCAATCATGGATACATCTCATTGTGCTCTCGCAACGCTCTCCGGGGGGGCGTGGGGAGGGTTTAGAAGCTTCTCCCCCGCCGCCAAAGCAGGCAGGCAGGAGGTAAAGCTACCTCAGCTGGAGGAAACCAGTAGGAACCTAGGAGCTTGGTCTAGTGCAACGGAGTCTATGGAGAGTATTGTCCAGTATTTCCTGCCGGGCAGAAAGGAGGGATCGGGACGTTACTAAATATAAATAGCAGGGCGCTCTGTCACATTAAATACTTTACATGTCCACACCCTTGGCTGTACACAGCGTGCAGGATGGTTGGGGCTTTTTTATTTCCCCCACGACCGGGCTTTCCCCAAGCGAAACTGTGTACCTTGCTTTTTGTAGAGCTGGGAGTCCTGATGCACATGGTTACAGATCACATATACTGGATAAGGGGGGAATATTATACATAGTGGGAAAGAGGGATATTATACATAAATGTAAAGGCAGAGTATAGTGGAATTGCCTAGTGCCTCCCATAGTCAGCTGAGCTGCAGTCTGGCAGGAAAAGCTTACAGAGGCAAGGCAGCATGCAGACTTCCGCTTAAGCCCCACCGGAGGCGATCTTCGTTTGTCCTTCTGAGATGTCCTGCTTTCGATAAAGAGAAGGCAAATCCAGTCCAAGGCTCCCCAGGCACAGGCCCTCCTCCGGAGGCAGGCGTGTCGCCCTGCCGGCACTGACAGTAAGGTGTGGTGGGGCTGTGTCACAGGAGCGTGTCTGTTGTCTTTCCTGTTCGTAAGCAAGAGGTGAGCGAGTTCCTCTTGGGGGCTGGTGTGCTCGTCACGACCTTCTTTCGTTAGGAATGTACCGTGTTCTCTGTGACAGAGCCACCTCCAGTGCCTATAAAATTTCGGGAGTTAGCCGACGGCAGGGAAGGCTCCGCCTCAGGGCTCGGTACCTCTTCCTTGGTGTCTCCCACCACCGACTCCTGCGAGCTGGTCTCTGGGCTGGAAGCTGCCTGGAAGCCAGGCTCAGCGCCGATGGGCTCACTGTTCTGCAGGGGAAGCAGGGCCCGGTGCCGCATCAGGCTGTCGTCGCTGTTCTGGGCCTCCAGGGAGTTCCTGCGCTTGGCGTTCCTGTTGGCCATGGCGTTCTTCTGCGGCTCCTCGAAGCTCAGCGACAGCGTGACCGTGCCGCTCCCGAAGCTGACTTTTTGCTTGCACCCACGCTGCTGCTGGCGCTGCCGCTCGGCGGAGGCTGGTAGAGGAAAAGGGTCTTCGTGGTTGCTCTTGCTGCTGATGGAGGAGGACGGGGTGGAGCCGGTGGAGCCCCCCAGGCTGTTGGAGCGCTTGCGTGACACGTTGCTCCGTCTCAGCGTGGCCCTGGCAGCCACCTTGAAAGCGTGGGCGGCCGTGCTGCAGCGCACCTCCTCGATCGTGTTGCGGGAGGGCTTGAAGAGGATGATGTAGACTTTGTTGAAGAAGATGCAGGCCAGGAGCCCGAAGCTGGCGGCCAGTATCGCGATCACCTCCACGGCAGAGACAAACTTGCCGTACGTGCTGGCGTAAGCAGGGATGAAGGAGATCCAGACGATGAAGAAGATCAGCATGCTGAAGGTAATGAACTTGGCCTCGTTAAAGTTCTCGGGCAGCTTTCGAGACTTGAAGGCGAAGAAGAAGCAGATGGCTGCCAGGAGGCAGGTGTAGCCAATGAGGAAGCCGAGGGCCATCAGGGAGCCTTCATGGCAGGTGATGAAGATAATCTCATCCTCCAGTTCGTGGTTTCGGTAACTGGATGGCGGGGCCGTGTAAAGCCAAATCACGCAGATGACAATCTGCACGAACGTACACAAGAAGACCAGGAGGAACTGGAGGTTGAGGCCCCACCACTTTCGGTGGAGGCTCGTGGGGATCTTTGCCTCGAAGACGAGCAGGACGCGGTTGGTTTTCACCAGGATGCAGGAGATGCAGAGGACAAAGCTGATGCCGAAAGCCGGCTGCCGCAGACGGCAAGTCCAGTTCTGCGGCTCGCCAATGAAGAACAACGAGCTGGAGAAGCAGCAGAGCAAGGAGAAGAGGAGGAGGTAGGACAGTTCCCGGTTTGTGGCCTTGACGATGGGCGTGTTGCGAAATTTGGTGAAGACTCCCAGGACAAAAGAAGTCAGGAAAATTCCCAGCACAGCAAAGAGAGTCAGAGCGATCCCAAAGGGCTCGGTCCAGGACAGAAACTCTATCTGCTTGGGGATGCAGGACGTGTGGTTCTCATTGGACCAGTAATCCTCAGGGCACTTGTCACAGGCACTTGCATCTGAAAAAGAAGTGATGGGGAGAGGGAAGGTTTGTCAGAATCAGAGGCCGAAACGTGGGGTGACATATGGCAGTCACACGCCGGCCTTCACCCTAACTACATGGGGTGTTCCCTTCAGGTGCCTGCAGGTTCCCGGGATCACTCCCAGAACTGGAGTCTCAGAGTGTTTTACACTGAAACAAGCAGCCTCCCATGGGCTGTATAGCAAAACAGAAAGCATCCTTAGTTCCAGCTTAAAAAACAGTCCTGCCCTTGTGCAGGGAATCCATTTCTTGGCAAAACTTTGCAAACTCTGATTGCTGCCGGCTGTTACACAGGCTCTGCCCCTCTCCCTCTCTTGTTCCCTTCATTTTTATCATCTACTTCTGTCTTCGTACCTCTCACACTTTTATCATCATTTGAAACATCCTGCCTGTCTCTATTACAGAGGAAATTAAAAACGTGCTTGCCTCCTTAAGTGCTTTGAGAGCCTATTTCACATTCCACAGAGGCAAGCCTTACGAGTGTCTGAATTGCTCTTCCCTGGAGGCAGGCAGTGCCCTTGACTCTGCCATCACACTCTCATTTCACGGTGGAACATCAGGGGAAGATGTGTCTTAACTCTCCCCACGCCCAGCGAAGCATCCCGCTGGCACCTGCCAAGGAAGAATCGATGCCTCCATCTCTTCCCGCTACGTGACACGAGCTGTGCCTGCTGGGGTGGCAACAGATGCCTCCGATGGCCTCCAGGATCAGAAGGCAAGGACCTGCCGCTTCTTCCCTGCTTCGGCCCCAGTGGGCCACCGAGGAGGGTCATGACTCCCCGGACGGCCATGGGAAGAGGCTGAGAGGAGAGGGTTGGAAGCCACCACCCACCTCAGCCTTTGGGATCCCCGTGGCGTAGCAATGGGCTGCAGTGAGCTCTGGGAACAAACACCCAGAAACCTCCTTGAGCAGCAACCTCACTCTCAGCTTTGCACCTGAGCACGGACAGAGACTCAGAGCATGGCTCCCAGAGCAGAGCTCGATGCTAATGAGAAAACCAGGGATGTCCAGCTAACGAGGGCAGAGGATTTCAAGCTTTCTTGTTCTGGAAAGGTGGCTGGAGGGAGCGTCCGTGACCTGATACGATACCGCTGCCCTAAGGAGCGTTGCCTCACCTAAGGTGTTCATGTGAAGAACTTGCACTCGACGCAGAAGCTCAGCCAGAAGCTCCCATCACCACATCCCATCCCATCTCATGTCACCTCATTTACATCCACTCAGCCAATCCTTTTTCTTGTCACTTTGGAGAAGACCTGGAGGCCTCCTGCAAACTGCAGGCAAGGCAGAGCCAACTCCACACGGCAGGGAGCAAAACCACCTCTACCAGAGAGCGGCTGTTGAGCCCTCCGTACTAAAGATGTGCTTCTGCTGTTCTCTTGAGCTGACTTAAGAGACCCTGCTGCTACCCAAGGGAGCAACCAGATCTCCCTCCTCCCCCGGGGCTGCTCATTCCTGCCCCTTCTGTTGCTAGCATTAGAGGTCATACAGCTCCTCCTTGTAGCTGGAAACTCAGCCTGTCAAGAGTTTATTTTCAGGAAGCCCAGAGACCCGATCCAACTCGCCCGGTGGCCGCGCGAGCACTCCCAGGCAAAGGGTGGGAGCAAACAGCAAAGAGAGGACACGACGGTTGTCTCCTTTGGTAGAAAGGCTGTCTCAGCTGGATGAGACTGGTTGTAAAACTCCTCTCTATGCCTATAAAACTGGCAAGCACAGGAAATAAAGAGCATTACCACGAGCTGAAATTGCAGCAGGAAACTGTGGAGTCAGAAGGCAGTCGTCCCCTCAGCCCCACAAATTTCACCAGTGCTAGCTCCCAAAATCGTGTCAACAACACCAAGAGGCTCCTCTTACACATGACTAGAATTGCTCCTATTTAATCTGAAAACGCTGCTCCCAAGTATCCTGTAGTGCTCCATGTTCAGGCTAAAAAATTACCATTCCTGTCTGACAGGATGCAAATCGGAGTCTCTCCGAGGAAATTGCTTGTTCAGTTCTGGAAGCAGTTCACTGAAGTTTCAGTCTTGGGCAAGGCACGCAGCGTGTGCCGGGACCGGTGCTGCCGGAAAGGGTGTGAGGAGATCCCGAGCGCCCCGCAGTGCGGAGGGGACTGCTATTCCAAAAGCATCTGCTTGCCTTCATTACCCCGGCTGTGCCCAACACTGAGGGAGCACTAATGGTGTTGGAAATTCAGAATTTTTCAACCAGTTCTGAAACTGAGGTTACCTTTTCCCTCCACTGCAGAACCCGGGTGGCTTGATCCAAACTCCCACTGAAACCAACAAAAAAGATGACCATGGGTGTTTGGTAGGACCCAGAGGTTCTGGTCTCTCGCAGTGCCGGTGCTCAACAGAAGCTGAGGTTGGAGACCCCATAAAAGGAAATATTCCTCTCTGCTTGTGAAGTCAGGGATGGAATATCTATTCCTAAAGCATGCAATAAAACCCTGACAACGTGAGGAAAAGATGGAGGCAAACAGATAAATACAGAGTTTAGGGTTAGGGTATAGAGTGTCTCCTTGCTCCAGGTTTTTGGAGGAATAAAAGCTACTGCTACAGTGCAGTGGAGTTTGCTTGTGGCTGCTCGAGAGGCTTCCTATACGCAAGTCCTTTTCCAAGTTCCCTGCCTTAATTTTCCTAACTCAGAGCAGAGGTGAGAAGCAGGCTTAGCAGAAGACAGGACCTAGGACCACAGGACTCCACTCCTGCACACTCTTCAGAAGTCCCTCTGGACATTCCGTGAAGCCCCCCTGGCCTCCAGCTCAGCACCGCAGGGACACGACTTCGGCGCAACTCCGGGTGATGCCCAGAGGGCTCTGCAAAACTCGGTGCAGCTCTGGCGGCATTACCTGTTTCATCGCTGTACTCCCCGTCGGGGCAGTCCACGCACTCGAAGCAGCAGGTGGGCTCTCCCTCGATGATGCCCTTCCTGGTGCCCGGGAGGCAGTCCCTGCTGCAGTTGGAGAAAGGCACCTGGAAGAAAAGAGCCCGAGGAAGGTGAATGGCGGCCGTGCCCCACGTGCAGCCGGCCTACAGCAGGACCAGGGCTTACCCCAAGGGTGTTACTGCTCGGTTAGCCTGCTGGGGGGAGACCCTCAGCGCCTCTTCCCTCCACAGAACAGACGCATTTCGCACAACAGTTGTTCCCCGACCCACTACGGGTTGTTCCCCGACCCACTGCAGTGCTATCTGTTCGAAAGAACACATGCAGGGTCGGTAGGGAAGGTCAGCAGAGCTTTGTGATCTCTGCTGGGTTGTGGGCACAGCGACCTGGTGTGTGACCCACGATACAGGCACCAGGGAACAGACACTAGATGGTTAAAAGAAAAGACAGTGTATCTCTGCTGGCGGGAATGTGATTCATCCTTGGAGATGATGGGCTCTGACTGCTAATCCCCTATCCCATATACTACATATTGACTGCTAATGATTTAAGGGAAATAAACCAGTTTCATAGAATCACAGAGTCATAGA